CCATTACACTAACTGCTGGTCCCAAAGTCCTTTTTTTGTTTTTTAAGGAGAGGTTTTTGCTGTAGGGTACGTGCGCTTGCCAGAAAGACAGAGACAGACAGACAGAAAGCGAGAAATCACCCCCCAGGGGGGATGGTCACGCCGCAATCCCTTCTCCTCCATTCTCCTCTCGGGATCTTGGGCACACACGCACACGCGCCCAGCGTGAGTTTAAGCCACTGGGTCTGGAACTTGAACCGCAGTTGACTACATGGGAATCCAGTGACATAGCCGTTAGGCCAACTGCTGGTCCCTGTTTTTAAGTTCTTGAACCCTGTTCAAAATCCTTGATATGTTGGGATATCACAAAATTAGGATTAGAAACACTTGGATTGGGGCTGGCAGGTGGTGTGGTGGTTGACGGTGCCGGACACCCACATGGCCGACTGTGGTTCAAGTCCTGGACCTGGCGGCTTGCTTTCTCACTTTCTCTCTCTCTCTCTCTGTCTGTCTGTCTCTGTGTTTGTCTCTCTCACTCTGGTCAAATTAAAATAAATAAATAAAGTTAAGTAAAAAGAATGCTTTAAAAATGTTCTAATCTTTAAAAAAAAAAGAAAAAAAGAAATACTTGGCTTAATGTTCTACAGAAAATGCTGTCACTCACTAATTACTAATATTAATGTTCACTAGTCGTAAATAGTTCACATTGCTTTAAGCTACTCTGTAATCGAATTGTATATCAATCATACTTTTAAAAAAAGTATGGGTTTATATAGTGGTTAAGGAGCTGGACTCTCACATGGCCCTCTGTGATTTGAGTCCCAGACCTGGCAGCTTGAAAATCATGCTGGGCACGTGTGCGTGCATGCCCAAGATCCAGAGAGGAGAATGGAGGAGAAGGGATTGTAGTGTGGTCATTTCTCCTGGGGGTGATTTCTCACTTTCCTTCTCGCTGTCTTTCTCTCTCTGGTGAGCTCTTGTGCTCCATGGTAAAAAAAACTTAAAAAGAGAAAGAAAGTGGATCCTTGATCATGAAATAAATTCATGGGTCTCTTTGTGCTTTTTTTTTTTCCCCCCAAATTGATAGTCCTTATGTTTTCAGAAGCAGCTTACACTTACAGCTGCAGCAAGTATTGCATGCTGTTCTTAGAAAAGAGAAGTTTCTGCGGTGGGACAACCTCTCTGCAGTGATCCTGTTACTGCAGTAGGATGCTGTGAGATTCCGGAATGGACCAGGCAGTGGGTTAGACATAATACTTGGCTTGGATTATACTTTTCACGATGCAACAGTGATTCTAAGCTTCCCGCTTTCTGTGGATTGTTGAGGGTTCCTCTAGAGTATTCTTTTTCCATTTATGCAAATATTCTAATTTTGAAAAAGTCCTCTTTGATCCATAATTGATGAGATCTTAAGGAAGATAAGCAGCATAGGCAAGAGGAAGCTTAAAGAACCCTGTGGTTGCAAGGATGTACCTCGAGCAGTGAGGATCGTATCTTTATGAAGAGCATTTTGAGGTTTTTGCTAAGACTTTGGTGAACATTCTATATGATGCCCTCAATAGCTCTGAGAGGCAGGGTTATTGTCATTAGGAAATTGCATTCTAGATGGCCAGTGATCTCTGTTCTTACATGGCAGCTTAAAGCATGGATTGATGATGGGACCAGCAGTTAGTATAATAGCTATGTTGCTGGACTCCCACGTAGTCGACCGTGGTTCGAGTCCCGGACCTGGTGGCTTAAATTCATGCAGGGCGCGTGTGCGTGCGTGCCCAAGATCTCGAGAGGACAATGGAGGAGAAGGGATTGCGGCGTGACCATCCCCCCTGGGGGGGGTGATTTCTCACTTTCTGTCTCTGTCTCTCTGGCGAGTGCACGCACCCTATAGCAAAAACTTCTCCGAGGGGGGAAGAAAGCATGGATTGATGATAGGCAACAGTTAAGGTTGAATGCAGAAGGATTTATTTTATTGTACTCTAGTAGTTCAGGGTAGGGTTCACCAAAGTTTGACCTGTGCTATAAGTTCACCTTCCATCTTTTTTTTTTTTTTAATTTAATTTACATTTTTACCATATATATGTCTCTCATTGGAGAGAGACAGAGATGGAGGTGGGGGTAGCCCTTCTCCATTTTCCTCTCAGGATTTTGGGCACACAACACACACACACACACACACACACACACACGTACCCAGTCTGGGACCCAAACTGTACAGCTGGCCATGTGAGCAGTCACCTTAACCACCATGCCATCTGGCTAGCCCATGCCACCAATTTTTTTTTTAGTTACTTTTATTTAGCTTTATTTATTCATATATATATTTATATTTAATTTTATCAGAGGGGGACAGAGTGAGAGACAGAGGGAAAGTGAAAAAGCAAACCACCAGATCCAGGATTCGAACCATGGCCTGCCATGTGGGAATCCAGCGCCCTAAACCATCATGCCACCTGCCAGCCCCACCACCAATTTTTATATGACCACTAATTGAGAAAGTAGTTTTATATCTTGCGACATGTGAAAATTTTACAAAATTCAAATTTTAGTGTCCATAAATATGTTTTTTAAAATTATTTATTTTTTTAATTTACTCATTTGTTTATTTTAATTTGACCAGAGAGAGAAAGAGAGAAAGCAAGAAAGCAAGCCACCAGGTCCAGGATTCAAACTGTGGTTGGCCACATAGGAATGTCCAGTACTTTAGCCACCATGCCAACTGCTGGCCCCCATAAATAAGTTTAATTTGAATGTAGCCATGCTTCTTTGTTTGCATATGGCAGAGCTGAGTAGTTGCAATAGACCTGCAAAGACTGAAATATTTATTAATTGGCCTTTTACTGAAAAAGTTTGGTGATTCCCAGGCTAGGGTTATTTTCTTCTTCAGAGTTCTTATATTGCACAGAGATGCCCCAAGAACATGCCTAATTTCAGCATGAATATACTTTTTATACATTTACCTTAAATGCATCTTCTGTAATGTATCTTGTTTTTGAAACCTCCATTATAATTATTTAATTTTCATTCGTGCCAAATAATTTGCACATGCTGACTAGCAGTGGTTTAGAACTTTGTTGGTAATTGGGGCTGGCAAGTGGCATGGTGGTTAAAGGCGCTGGACTCCCACGTGGCTGACCACGGTTCAAGTCTCAGACCTGGTGGCTTGCTGTCTCACTTCCTCTCTCTCTGTCTCTCTGATCAAACTGGAAAATAATAACGATAATAATAATAAATAAAGTTAAAATAATTCTAAAAAAAGAAAAAGAACTTTGCTGGTAATTTGTGTGCTCCTGCTTTCTCACCAGTTTCACAGCAGCCATGAAGGCAGCCTTATGTCTTTATTGTGAACAAGTTCATCCTAATTTTTCCTTAACCGTGTTGAGAAAGGCCATGCCCGGTATTTCACGTCTGTTTTCGTCCTGGTGTGCTGTTTTGCGACGGTAGCTGTTTACTCCCCAGAGACATTCATTTGCTCGTCCTGAGCTGACAGGCTCACTGGTGACTCCCGCCTAGCTTTACTGCTGCTCTGCTGACGAAGTTTCCAGAGAGCAGCATCACACTTCTCCCCAGGGAGGACTTCTCAGCCTCCTTCAGAAGTGTGCCCTGCCGTCCAGGTTTTGGGATTCGGTTTCGCTTACATCAGGTACAGAGGAACATAAACAATGATTGTGAATGAAGTTGGGGAGTGGCTTGAAAGCGTCCGAGTTGCAGGCCGGTGCTGTCCTGTCCGTGCACGTGGTGTTGCTGTGCGTTAGCTCACAGCTGCCTTTGAGTGGCAGGGCTTCACACTCCAAATTGCATTTTGTTTACCATCATCACTTTATTGAAGGCCAATGAGAAATGCACTTGGAAGGCTGAGGTGAGTTGATCGGCTTTCTATCAGCAGGTCCTGCTAGGAAGTGTGTTCTGTCTGGTGCTGAAGGTGAGAGTGTAGATGTGCAGGGTGATGAAGAGTTCCTAAATTAAGCTATTCTCAGCACAGAACGTTTGTAGCACGGCCTGCTTTTCAGTTTTTTTTTTTTTTCTTTTTTTTGGGGAGAGATTCTTTTTCGCTATAGGGCGCGTGTGCCTGCCAGCCAGACAGAGAGAGACATAGAGACAGAAGCGAGAAATCACCCCCCAGGGGGGATGGCCATGTCACAATCCCTTCTCCTCCATTCTCCTCTCGGGATCTTGGGCACGCATGCACATGCGCCCGGCGTGAGTTTTAAGCCACCAGGTCCAGGACGCGAACCGCGGTCGACTACGTGGGAGTCCAGCAGTTAGCCATTACGCTAACTGCTGGTTCCCTGCTTTTCAGTTATTGTGAGCAGGAGATGGCGGCATGAGGCTGGTACTGGCTGCTGTTTTCATAGTCATAGATGTTTGTAACACGGAGAGTTTGCCAGCATGTAATTGCGATTCCGGTTTGGAGGCCTTCAGCTCTTTCACCTCCATCTGTGTCGCCCTCCTCCCGTACCTGCCGCTCTGACCAAGATGCTCCCTCTTAAATGGCTCTCAATGTGTTCCTTGTAGGGTTACCAGTTTGAGGAGGAGAATCCCCTCCGAGATCACCCTCAGCCTTTTGAAGAAGGACTGCGGCGACTTCAGGAAGGGGACCTGCCCAATGCTGTGCTGCTTTTTGAGGCGGCTGTGCAGCAGGACCCTAAGCACATGGAAGTGAGTGACTCGGTTCTGGTGTCCGACTGAGGTCTGTGTCCTCCAGTTTCTGTGTCCTCCAGCTTTTTTTTTTTGGAGAGGTTTTCACTATAGGGCGTGTGCACTCGCTGGAAAGACAGAGAGAGACAGAGAGACAGTAAGAAATCACCCCCCAGGGGGGATGGCAACACTGCAGTCCATTCTCCTCTCGGGATCCTGGGCACGCACACACACGCACCCGGCGTGAGTTTAAGCCACCGGGTCCAGGACTCGAACCGCAGTCGGCTACATGGGAGTCTAGCGACATAGCCATTACGCTAACTGCTGGTCCCTGTGTCCTCCAGTTTTCAAGGAAGCCCAGAGAGTAGTGCAGATGGGCTGGAGCCTATGCGCTGCAGGTGGGGAAGGGGAGAGAGGCTGTGAGGGGAGCCATAGGAGGGAAGGTGGAGCAGGGTGACAGCTTCTGTCAACCTCCCTCTAGGCGTGGCAGTATCTGGGCACCACCCAGGCAGAGAACGAGCAAGAATTACTAGCCATCAGCGCCCTGCGGAGGTGAGTACTCTGAAAGGTGGGGCGAGGTGGGCCCGGGGCTCTTGTAGATAACCTGTAGGAAGGTAGGAGCCGGGCCCAGATCCTTGTCTTCTTTCTGGCCATTAACAAGAGTATTTCCTCATGATGAAACTAAGATCTCAAGTGAGTTGGGATGACTGGTTTAGTTCCTTCGTCATCTTTCATTTTATTTGTGGGACTTCAGTCCGTTTTCAGATCCGTAACTTTGTTAGGACATTTCTGTGTCATAGTCTGGGGCGGGGGGCAGGTGAGTCCAATATGACTGCGTCTTAAAGCGAGGCTTGGATTCCAAGGTACTCCTAGTTTCCAGCAGATACCAAGTCTGTTCCTCCCGTCCAAATAGGTGTCTGGAGCTGAAGCCAGATAACCGGACAGCCCTGATGGCACTGGCTGTGAGCTTCACGAATGAGTCGCTGCAGCGACAGGCCTGTGAGACGCTGCGAGACTGGCTGCGCTACACCCCGGCCTACGCCCATCTGGTGGCCTCTGGTGAAGAGGGCGCTGGTGGGGCAGGACTGGGCCATAGCAAGCGAATCCTGGGAACCCTGTTGTCTGAGTGAGTGAGGGGTTCTGGGGTGAGGAGTGGTAACCTGAGGGCCAGTAGGAGCGTGACCTCGGTTTGAGAAGTGTGAGTAGATTGAGATGGAAGGGGCCAAGAGTGGAAGGGAAACCCAGGATTAATCTGAAGGAGCAGTGTTGGCATGGAGTGGAAAACCAGATTTCTAAATTGGAACTTGGGGGTGGGGCATGGTTGACGAGTGATGAACCTTGGGAATATGTTTGACTAATTGGGGCGTTATTAGGGGGCTAGGGGTGTAGACATAGTCTACATGTGTTTTCCCCTCCTTGTCCAGCTCCCTGTTCCTGGAAGTGAAGGAGCTCTTCCTAGCAGCTGTGCGCCTGGACCCTACGTCCATTGACCCCGATGTACAGTGTGGCCTGGGCGTCCTTTTCAACCTGAGTGGGGAGTATGACAAGGCCGTGGACTGCTTCACAGCTGCCCTCAGTGTTCGCCCCAATGTGAGCCTCGGGAGGAGAGAGAGGACGTGACTGCACCTCAGTGGGGCTCGTTTGTGGGGGCTTTTGGTGCCCTAGGAATTTGGTTTCAGCGTAGCACTGACTGCCTTTGGAGGATTGGGAAGAGAGAGGTGGGAGTATGGGGTCACCTGGACATAAGGGAGTCTACCTGGGGTGAGAGAGGGGCTATGTTGTGGTCATCCAATGGGCTTTGAGAACAGAATGGGCGAGTAACAACGTGGTGGCCAGACAGGGCGTTGAAGAGGGAAGGAACGGGCAGAGTTAGATCTGAGCCTGATCCGGTTCCCAAACCTCGTCCATCCCGGTCACAGGACTACTTGCTGTGGAACAAGCTGGGGGCCACCCTGGCCAATGGAAACCAGAGCGAAGAAGCAGTGGCCGCTTACCGCAGGGCCCTGGAGCTGCAGCCCGGCTACATCCGGTCCCGCTATAACCTCGGCATCAGCTGCATCAACCTTGGGGCGCACCGGTGAGAGCCTGCTGAGACGTGCATGAGCTTCTCCCTGCCTCCGGCCCGCACTCTCGTCCTCCGGTGCTGTCTGTGTATCCCCAGCCCAGTTTTCTCTCTCCCCATGTCAGATGACCTGCTTCCTTCCATGGTGGTTCTCACCAGCTCATTCCTCCTCTTCCTACAGGGAGGCTGTGGAGCACTTTCTAGAGGCCCTGAACATGCAGAGGAAAAGCCGGGGCCCTCGGGGCGAAGGGGGTGCCATGTCGGAGAACATTTGGAGCACCCTGCGTTTGGCGTTATCCATGCTAGGCCAGAGCGATGCCTACGGGGCGGCTGATGCCCGGGACCTGCCCACCCTCCTCACCATGTTTGGCCTGCCCCAGTGACAGTGGGATGGGCTGCCCTGTGAGTGTCTGTCTGGAGGGGTCCCTGCTTTGGATGTGACTCCCTCTCCCCAAATGGGCCTGCCAAGGGGGTGGGCTGATGACCACAAGCGGTACGGCCTCTCGAGAGCTGCCTCGCTGTAGGGGTGGGTGGTTCACGTTCTAGTTCCTGCGTGATTGTAGGACAGCCGGCTGAGCCTGAGCCCCGTGGTGATTCCAGGGCCACCCATCAGCTACACATCTCTGCTCATTGTGCCCTTTCTTGGTGCTGCTTTTTGGGTCGGGCCCAACAGTGTAGGGTAACTTGTCCTCAGCTGCCATTTCTGATGGGGTCTGCCACGTCTGCACCTGTCTTCCCCCCACTTGTCCCGGGAACTGGTAGCAGTCCAGCTTCCCTGGCATTGTGTGTGGGTCCTTCTACCGTGCGTGGTATTGGGGTGGGTTGGCATTCAGAGATTGTATTCAGTCTGACTGTGTCCGGGATGGGGTGTTTGGAGTTGGCCTGTTTGAAATGTTGGATTGGCACAGCTGAGCTGAGTTCTGGTAGGCGTGCCCTTACTTTGCCATTCTCGGAGCTCCCCTGCCTGTGAGCTCGGGTACGCTGTGATGCGGTAATGCTCGCGCGTTATCATAGCGGTCCTGTGGAGCTCACAGGGTCAGTTGCTACAGAGAGTGTTTGGGTGTGAGGAAGGAGGAAGTTTCACTCTGATTCGAGCCTGGGACAGTAGGTGGGCTCTGCCCTGGGGCCTTGTGGGAGCATAGAGCGGTGGGAAGGGGGAGGTGGTGGTGAGGGCACCTCCTCTTAGATGCACCTGTGGGTAGAATGAGCAAAGCGGCCTAGAAAGTCAGAAATTGCCTTCTTGCCAAATTCCTAGCAAAGATGGGGATTGCTGTTACCACAAGCCTTGCTGTACGTCTTGAAATGTTTCTATGGGAGAGCGTTGAAAAGTCCCTCCCCTGTATTGCCTCCACAAGGTGAAGACTGAGGGAAGATGAGGGAGCAGCGTGGATTCCTCTTGGCTGTCCCCGCGCGGGGAGATACACTAAGCCCCAGAAACGACTGCCCAGCCTCTTGCCTTGTCTTCAGTAGCTAATGGTCAGAGGGTTTTTTTTTTTTTTTTTAACTACCTTGGTCCCAAGGTTCCACCTTGAAATTTATTTTTATTTGTATGAATATGTGTAAATGATTTAAAAATAAAACTGTAAAATATTTGTATGATGAATAAATGGAACCAACGTGGGTATGAATTCTGCTCCTGGCCGTGGTATTGGGGTGGGTTGGCAGAGATCGGTGTTCAGCCATTTCCGTCTTCTCTCTCTTTCAAATCCTCACTGCCTGGTTGATTACCTATCCACCAGTCAGCAATTATCGAGCACCCAATAACTGCTAAGTACCGTGAAATTTCTGGTTTAGCAGGAGAGACGGAATTTGACACTTAGTCACTCAGACTGGGAAGACACGGGGCTATATAACTATTAGGCTGCCATCCTGTGCATTATGTGGGAGATTCTGATAGTTTTTAGTGCTTAGAGCTTCTAAAGGTTTTCTTCTGGCTCTACTTGTTTTTGTCAAGAATTATGTCAAGAGCTATATCACGATGGGACTCTTCATTTGTTAAAATAAAAAATTTAAAACGAATGTGGCTTGTTAGAGTAGAAGAAAAGGTCTTAAAAAGAGCTGGTTCTTTACATTATCCAGACAGTGAAATATTTATCTATTTGTAGGACAATTCTTTTAAGAGTTCCTTCCATGAAATACAGGCTGAGAGGGAGGCACCCCGATGAGGTCTGTGTGCCGCAATGGTGTGCACAGCTTGTATAGGGAGACCTGAGCACAGGGGCTGGAACTGTCCCACATCAGCATCACGGGGCCTTGTGAGAAGTCTGCCACTCTGGCTGGTCCTGGGGTGATTGCTAAGGATGACAGATGCTAAAAATGCATCAAGGAAAGAAGATTAGCAGATTACAGATTATTTTTAAAAATGCATCAAAAACCGAATTAGGAGATAACCTCAATGTGCTAAAAACTGAACATTACAAGTGATTCTTCTTCCTGCTGTGTCTCACTATGTAATTTCCAACTTCTCTAACGCATGTGTAATTCTTTTATAAGAAGCAGGGGTGGGAGGTGGCGTGGTGTCTGTCGCCACCTGGCAGGTCATGGGCAGCTGGTGTCCTGGGCTCTGAGGGAGGTGGTGTCGAGTCCTGGCCCAGGAGCGGGCTGGGCGGACAGGTGGCAGCGTCCATAGAGGAAGGAGAAGAGGCTGAGTCAGTGGCTTCAGAATGGAACTAATGCCTGGCTGATGCCAGGTCTCCAGGTTTGTCTGCTTCACCTGCTCTTAGTCCAGGAGGGTGCTTTCCTTGCAGTCAGTGCCCGGCACGTCTTCCAAACCCAAATCAAATTCAGCCATTACTTACGAAGCCGCTACCTGTGCTGAGCACTGTTTCAGGGACCAGAGGTACAATTCTCGAGGCAGAGAAGGCCCCGCTCTCTCAGCTTTCATACCAGTTGGGGAGGAGACAAGACTCAAGAACATTCCTGTTACTTTGGGGAGGGACTGGCCTTATGGCCTAGTGGTTAAGGGAGCTGGAGCTGTCATGGGCAGCTGTGTGGCCTGAGTCCTGAGGCCAGCTTGAGAAGCATGCCAGGTGAGTGTGCATGCAGGACCCAAACCCTGCCAGGTAGAGAGTGAAGGGATGGTGGCGTGACCACACTTCACTGGGGATGCTTTCTCTCATCTTGGGTGAGTGCATGAACCCTCTGGCAAATACTAAAAAATTACTATGAAGAATCAAAATGGTACCATGCACTAGGCAGTGAAGGGGGGACTTGGGGCAACGTTAGGGTGGTCAGGAAAGGCCTTTCTCATGAGATGGTCTGTGCTGGGGGGAGTCGGCCCCGGACTTCTGGAGGAAGAGCCCCCCAGGGGCTCTAAGGCAAAGGTCGGTCCCACAGGGAGGAGGAAGCAGGAGAAGCAGCAGAGCCCATGCCCGCCTGCTCCTCCTCCTCACAGCCAAGCTCTGGGTGCGACCATGCTCACACACTGCCCGCACTGGCCCTCCACTCCTCCCACTGCACTCACTCGCACCACGGGTGCTGCTTTGAGGTCACTGATCGCATGCTGCCAAAGACGGTGGCACTTGTATTTCTTTTTTTTTGTATATAAATTAACCCATTTATTGTAGGCTAGTGATATTCCAAATGTCAATGGAGCTTCTACTGGTGTTTCAATTCCTTCAGTCTTAGGGCAGACTTCACTGTGATAGCGGAAATGTTGGTGTAGGTCCAGCCACCACCGGCTACCATGTTCATGCAGGAACCACAGTGCCAGATCCCCACAGCCCGTCTCTTCATCTTAGTTTTGCCACAGAAGGAACAGGTGTACTTGGTGTGCTGGCTGATTTCAATTTTCTTCACCATTTTCTGGAGGGAGGCACCATAGCGGGTCCTGTATTTACCGATGATGCCGACCTTGGTGCGTTTAGCCATACCGCCGCCAACTAGGTCTGAGCCCAGAGAGGGCACTTGTATTTCTGACCTTACGTGACCTGTGGCGTTTGATCCCCAGGCAGCTGTGCCATATCTGGTTGTACGCTGCATAATTCAGTGAGTGTGTGTCCCTAACCTAATCCCTGTGGATGGGGCTCCGTGGTGCTGTGCAGTCCACACTGGACTCTGCGGCCCTGCCCGATGACCATTCTCCTTAGACTTCCCCTGCCCGTTATTTCTTCCGTCCCGGGGTTCTGCTCTCGGTCTCCTTGGTGTGCCTGTGCGCTCCTTAAATGTGACCGAGGACCATCCTTTCTTTTCTCTGCAGAGTCCCCTGGTGGGCTCATTGCCCCTGCGGCTGTGACCACCGTATAAACGCTGCTCTGCCCGAGCCTTGGGTAACGCGGCACACTTACCGTGTGTCTCCTCCACGTGCTTGTTCCCCAGGCACCGCAAACCCGGCCAAGAAACCAGGGTTTTCCTTCCCAAATCTCATTTTGTTCTCTCCTGCAGGCACACGAGGGGGAGACAGTGCATGGATCGGACCTCTGTAATAACCCTTAGACCCCCGGTGTCGCTCACAGGGGCCTCGGGTTACTTCCGTCCAGGGATTCATTGTCTTTCTTGGATTACTATGATCGTTTGTTTTCTTCTTACTCCATTCACTCTCAACTCATTGCTGAAGCCAACGGGAAGTGCTGCATTGCAGAGAGGTGTAGACGTAGGGCAGTGTGGTTGACTGAGGAGCGTCATAGTGATCTACCCTGGTAGCCTTTCCAGGACCTACGTAGAATGCTTACTGGTCTTTCTTAAGTCAGTTAAACTAAGAATCCATCGCAACTTCTGGCCTTTAAACTCAAGAATATGCCAGAGACAGGCAAACTGTTCTAGGTCAGTTACCTCTACTGGAAACTGCAACTGGATTTTAGTCAATTCCTATTTCTTTAGAAATATAGAAACTCTGAATCAAGGCTGTTGTTCTCTTGGGACCCGGAAGTCATTTAGATTCTCTATTCACCATTTTGGTTATTGGTATAGGAAAAAAAAAAATCCTGGGACCAGCAGTTAGCAAAATGGCTGTGTTGCTGGACTCCCATGTAGTCGACTGTGGTTCGAGTCCCGGACTCGGTGGCTTAAACTCACAACGGGTGCGCGTGTGCGTGCATGCCCAAGATCCCAAGAGAACAATGGAGGAGAAGGGATTAAGGCGTGGTCATCCCTCCCGGGGGTGATTTCTTTTCTTTTTTGGAAAGGTTTTTGCTATAGGGCGTGTGCGCTCGCCAGACAGACAGAGACAGACAGAGAGAAAGCGAGAAATCACCCCCCAGAGGGGATGGCCACACCGCAATCCCTTCTCCTCCATTCTGCTCTTGGGATCTTGGGCATGCACGCACACACGCCCGGCGTGAGTTTAAACCCCTGGGTCCAGGACTCGAACCACGGTCGACTACCTGGGAGTCCAGCGATATAGCCATTACGCTAACTGCTGGTCCCCCAGGGGTGATTTCTTGCCTTCTGTCTCTCTGTCTCTCTGTTTCTGTCTGTCTGTCTGGCATGTGCACGTGCCCTATAGCAGAAACCTCAAAAAAAAAAAAAGAAAGAAAAAAAATCCTTATTTGTTCAAACAATAGATGTCAATTTTTAAAAAAATATTAACTTTTTTATAATATATTAAACTTTCTTATTCTCTATCATAGACATTAATTTTGTCTTTTGTTTTCTTTCAGTTTTCTACAGTTTCCAACTTGTACCTGTATTTAACACTGCTAAAGACATTAACTGATTGCTTTCCTAAATCTAAGGATTATATATTTTAGTATAAATATTTATATATCACAAACTTGAAATTTAATTATTATTATTATTATTTTAAAATGTGCAGTAGGGCAGCTGCCAGGTCTGGGACTTGAACCACAGTTGGCCATGTGGGAGTCTAGCACCTTAAACCACTGTGCTACCTAGATGCTGGCCCCTAGATTTCAATGATTAAAGTGTGGAAACACGAGACAGTTAATAGCAGCCTTGTATTTCAAAGAGAAGAAATAATTAAATCAGGAGAAAAAAAACAAAAGAAAATGTCCTAGGGTTCCTAGCAAACCGCACCTTTGGTCCACCTGCTCAGGCACTGGTCTTTTGTTCTGAGGGAGGACTCGCTGCTCTGTCTTTGTGCTCTTCTAAGCTCTACTCTAGTTACCGTTTTCTAGAAATCTGGGAATTCTATCCTGATTCCGGCTGAATGTCACATAGAAATGCCACATAAAAAGAAGCTTGCTGTGTCAGGTTGGGTTATCTCTCTCTCACTTGGTAAACATGTCAAACACAGTTAATAGACACACAATTACAGCTAGATGGGGGATTGGGTTCTAGTGTTCTACAACACAGCTGGGTGACTGTAACAATAATTTATTATCTAGTTCAAGATATCTAGAAGGGAGGATTTTAAGTGTTTCCAACATGA